TAATGTAGACCTTATTGGAGCTCACCTAATTTCGTTCAATCTCAAAGTAAACAAGGATAAAACAGAATACACAGTAATTAAAAGAGAAGAACTGGTCAAAGAGTACTGGAGACTAACAAAAAAGTTAGGGTCCCTTCTTGGAGACAAAGAAGATATCACCAGAAGGAAACAACTTGCTTTGAACGCAATGAACAAAAAGACAGCACTCTGGAACAAAAAAGAAAAAATTAGATTAAAAACAAGACTGAGGTTGTACAACTCACTAGTGAAACCGGTGCTTTTATACAATAGTAATACATGGGCCTTAACGAAAAATGATGAACTAAAGCTAAACACTTTCCATCGTAAGCAACTCCGAAAGATTATTGGACTTAAATATCCCCATAGAATATCAAATAAACACCTTTATGATAGATGTACGGCGAGACCCGTGTCACTAGAAATTTTAGAATCGAGATGGCGATTATTTGGCCACATCCTGAGACAAAACACAAACAATCCTACAAACCTGGCAATCGACTTCTACTTCACCGAGACCAATAACAGAAAATTCAGGGGACGTCCAAGGACTACAATAATCACAACTCTCCATAACGACCTATAGTAAGATCCAGTCTACCAATACTCCATATCCTGCTCAACTAAAAATTAAAAATGATATGGAGAAATTAAAATTACTGGCACAAAACAGACACATTTGGAAAGGGCTCATCGAGGAATTAAGTGAAGCGGAACTGTCATCGGACTTTTCGGCGATACGGCGATGATGAGGCAAACTACAGAGGATGTTCAAGAAAAAGAAACCAGCGACAGGAAACCCATTCTTACCAGGTATTGATATACTGCTCTAATATTAAAATTCCATTTTAATATTTTTCTGAAATATTTCTTGAAGGTTTGCATAACAAGTAAAAATTTCAAAAAATTGAACTTTTGGTACACTATTTGTAAAAAATATGGTTTTTCAGAATATAATATATGTACGTTTATTGAATGACAAGTAAAACTCTTCATTTTAAAGTTTCGGTACAGTATGTGTAAAATATGGTTTTTAGGAAAAAACAAAATACTGATTGGTTGTCTCGACGTTCCCTTGAGATTGCTCTGACCGTCATCAGGAAAATAAAGACCTTCAATTTGCTGCCAGCTTTAGTGATGTTAATGTTAATCAGCTTTAAAAGTTGATGCTTGAGTGTCATTTAGTGTAAAACAATATAAAAACTGTACAATTTTATCCTAATCATAACGTTGTTAGATACTCTATTTGATCTGTTATTAATTTATTGGTTACAGGTCCTTCAATGGAAACCTCAGATGTCAGCAATACCGAGGCAGGGCAACCAGGTTGGTGTTTTTTTACTTGTAAAATATAGATTGTTATTGGTAATTTTAATCCACTTTTAAAAGTCAGGGCTTGAGTGTCATTTTGTATTAAAAACATATGAAAAATGTATAATCTGATTTGGTCCTATCAATGACCTATCTTAAAGGGAAATGCAAAATGACCAACGTTTTTTTGGTATTACATTTGATCTGTTAATAATGTAATGGTTACAGATCCTTCAGTGGATACTGCACATGTCAACATGAATGTAGAGACAGCGCAACCAGGTTGATGTTGCAGGCACTGTTTCACTCATTATTATGAATAAATCTATTTTTCATTATTATTTTTATTTTACTAGGTATACTCTTATCCTTATTTCAGATGGAAATCTAGGTTATGTGGATGATAAGCACTTATATCTTTATTGCCAAAGACATGAGACTGGAAGGCGAACAACTAATCCGCAGCCTGGGTCTCAGTTGGAGCAAGATACAACAAATATGGAGTGATAACAGACGATTGCTGGAATGCGTAATAGAAATGCTTACAGAATGGAGAAAACAACAGGACTATGAGACAAATCAAGTTGAGATAATGTGCAGGGCTTTAAGATAGCAGGGACTCACCGAGCTTGCTAACAAGGTCTTTGGCTCACAAACATCAGAGGATCAATCATCCCATGTACAAGCAAGTACAGATCATCCTTGTGGAAGATTACATTGAATGAACCAGCAACATGATGGTCAGTCACTCACTATTGATGCAGATATCATATGATGATGATAGAAATGATGATAGTGATACTGGATAATTATAATAAATTGTTTTAGTTCTGTTTTCGTTAAATCAGTAATAACTTGAGCAGTATCTCTCCATAGTGCATTTCACTGTTCTGTGCTTGAATACTGAATATGCAGGCCATGTATGATGGGCGATTCAGTTATTTTCTGTCCTGCGGTACCTGAATACTGAATAATTCACAGGCCGTGTACGATGGGGCATTTCATTAACTCAATATTTTCTACCATTTTACTAAAGGTCATGATAATTATTTGACTATCTTTTGTGTAGTCTTGCTAATAGATAGCGGTGAATACATGATACCATAACATCCTTTGGCGGAGGTAAAAACAATAGTAATACCTCTTATTAAGTTTACAGTACTAATATTAGATATTAACAGCTTTCATTCTGTCTCAGGTTGCTTGGCTGATACTGACCTTAAGTTCATTGCTGGAAGACTTGACAATGACTGGAAACATTTAAACACCTACCTTCAAATGAAGAGCTATGAATAAATCAAATTGCAAGAATATTTTCAGGACACATGCTTTGGAGACCAAAATAGCATTACATCATGACTATATATGGGCACATCATGATTATATATAGGCACATCATGACTGTATATGGGCACATCATGACTACATATGGGCGCATCATGACTATATATGGGCTCATCATGACTATATATGGGCACATCATGACTATATATAGGCACATCATGACTATATATAGGCACATCATGACCATATATAGGCACATGACTATATATGGGCATATCATGACTATATATGGGCTCATCATGACTATATATGGGCTCATCATGACTATATATGGGCACATCATCCATGCAATGGTTGCACTGTGTAGCTGTCTCCAACAACTGACCAATCAGCATTGCCAAAAACATCTGACATGCCTAAATATGGTCATGATGACATCACATGACCATATATAGTGATATCATGACTATACTGTATATCAGCACGCTGTACAATAGTTTCTTTCTCAAAGAAAATTTGACAGTCTGGACAGAGCTTAAGCCTGTTTTTCATAAAATCACTACATTGTAGCTACATGCAATGGTTGTGCTGTGTAGCTGTCCCCAGCGCAATTTCGAAGGCCTCGCGACTTGACCGACCAATCAGCATTGCCAAAACGTTTATTAATGTTGATAAAGATAGCAGGAGCTATCGAAATATCCGTTGTGTATATATACATATATATGTATATATATATATATATATGTATATATATATACGTATATATAAATACGTATTGTACAGTGCATTGTGTGCAGATTAGAAAGTATTTGCTTATCCCACCTGCCTTTACATATAACGCCTGAAGTACTACTCACGATAAAAACAAACACTATATCCCTGTCAGGGATAATGTGTGTGTATATACTGTATATATTTCAAAATTTCTTCGGTTTAATTTCAGCTCAAAATTATTTCTCTCTTCTAGTTTTTATTTTAGCTTAAGTTGTTTTTCTTACTTGATTGATTGATTGACTGCGCCACATTCATGTGTGCTGCCACTGTTGTAAAAATGATGTAAAATAAATATTATTATGCTTTTTAAAGCTTTAGATTGGAATAGCCGAGTACTAATACCTTTGTAAAGTTTTGAATTCTGGTAAACAGTTTCTGATTGGTTAGTTCCCCATTCTTACTAGCCAATCAATTGATGTAGTAAAATTAGGCAAGTTAGTTTTGAATGAGGGGATTTTCTTTGAAATGCTTTGTTTGTTTAAGATATTTTTTTTTTGTGAAATATATATTTTAAATTTTGCATTCATTTATCAAACTTGTTTTTGGATAGGTTTGTTTCAAATAGTAGGAGATTCTTGGTATTTTTGTTCCTTTCTGTGCCTTTTAGTTGTTTAATTTACAGATCAAACTTAACAATTTTTGAAGTGTAATGACACAAATTTTTGAATTCAAGTTTGTAGATATATAGGTACCTTTTACAAGAAAACTATTTATTCAGAAACTATTTTCAAAACGGTTATTATGCATCACTGTATATTGTAAAGGAAATGGTACAGCTTATTAGAATAGAGGAAGGGTGTTTGCCTAATCAGTGGAAGTCCCTAGATGGGCTCTGGTTGGATAATTAGATCAGTGTCATGTAATGATCATATGCTAGAGACATAGCCAATAAAAGAAGTCGAACCATGAGAAGTTATAACTTACCTTGGCATTTTTTTATATAAGGGTGGTTTTCTAAATTATAGTAATTTATCAATTTAAGTTAAGTAAAATAGATTGTGTAAGTGATTTTAAATTTTTACTTTCGGCTCAAACTTTGGGAAGTCCCGTTTTATTTTATATGAACAATTTTATGTGCTGTCTCTTATACACATCTAGATGTGTATAAGAGACTTTGATGAATTGTGTATCTTTTGATATTTAGAATTTATATTTTTTGACAGCAAATAATAACACCTTACTTTTAATGTTTAGTCCTTTTGTAATTTTAATGTATATAGCAATCATTTTAAATGCCTCCTTTTTTAATGTATTAATATGTTTTTATGTTGTAATGCAATGAAATTCAGGCATGCCCGGCCGATCGTAAATTATATGCCAAAATAAATAATGAACTATTGGAGATCAGAGGGCATTGGGGGACACTTGGTAATGAGACTCTCCACCCCTCACACTGTATGAACATTGTAGTAGGCAGTTTTAAGATTCATATAGCTCTGTAACTTGTCTGACAGTCAGTCTTCAATGATTACAAATACAAAACAGTGAACAGTAATGCTCTGGTCAAAGGGAAATGCAACCTGATGAAAACATGGGTAATTTTCAAAATTTATAAATACATGCCACCAAAATACTGTAAAAAGAACAAAATATTTGCATAATTTTATACTGTATTTTAATATACAAGCCAGGTTGGTTGAGCTGGTAGAATCCTACTCCAACTTAAGTACAGTTAAGATATACAGTGGCAGATTGAAGGAGGGCCTAGCTGGCCCAAAGCCCCCCTTAGATATTTTAAAAATTTAAAGAAAATGGAGAAATAAGGAAAATTATATTCAAATTTTAAGTCAGAGAATGCTATTTTCGATCATCGAAAGGCACCACAATCATAGATTTTCTCTCGTTCAGCCCCCGGCCAGCCGTAGTGGGACTGGTGTGTACAGACCCAAAACCTGTGAAAGCCCCTTCCTGGGCCCCTTTTATTTCAAATTTCTGGATCTGAATATATGTTTTGTTTTTATATATATATCTTTTTGTTCTGTTGTTCATTCTTAAAGATCTTGCTTGCTTTGAATACCCCTTTTCCATTTATCATTGTGTATTGTTACTTAATTATTTTGAATTTCAATATCAAAATGTATTCATTCCATTTTTTATGCAGTTGTACACATTCATTTGGACCAGGTGATTTTCCTAGTGGTGCGTAAGTGGGTGGGGCCAGGACACTTTAAAAGCCACTCAAAGGAGGTCCAGGGGGAGATTCCCTAGAAACTGATAATTTATTAATTAAATTTTTTGAATTAGTTTCCGTTTTTAAATTACACAGTGTTTTTTTTTTTTTTTTTTTTTTTTTAATCAACGAAATTGTGATTTTTCTTCCAGTCCCACCCACTTGTGCCACCACTGGTATTTATTGTTATATAGTATTAAGATAACTTACGAATATAGGCCAAATCAATAAAACCATTGGACTGAACTTTTACCTCACTACCCCAATACCTCACTAACCCATTAGACACCTGTTGAATGTCTCCTTAATTATTATATATGAAGTCTTTGACAGGACAATAGCCAATTCATGACAAAAAGCCCAAGTGGTCAACTCCTTGCATTTGATTTATAAAATAAGCTCAATTGAGAGACAGCTTGTTACTAAATATAAGTTAAGTTCTACTCCCAAAGTTGTTATATTATCTGACCAATAGAAACTCCCCAAAATGATGTAATAGTCAAATGATTAGGATAAGGTAATATCTTTCAACCAATCAGAGAATGTCCACCACACCCCAAGCTTGTATGAAAGTAAAGTATTAGTAATCTAGAGAAGACTTCCTTCTGATACCTTGAAGGAAATACTACGTCTCACAATCTTACTTGTATATATTGTATATATCACGCAGTGTGAATAAAAGCTTTGCATTATAACCAGAAGAGATGTAGTCAGTTCAGTTATTTAAAGTAAACCATCTCGCTTGTCATATCACTACAATCATAGTGAAGATCCAGTCTTTGCATCCGGAACACACATTGGAATCGGGCACAACAACTTGAGCATTACATGGCGAACTGCCATATATAATATTACATTATATACAGTATTCAAATTGTAGGCCGGTGTAGTATCGATTATGTTTCAGTTATTGTTCATAGTCCTGCTCATTATATGTGAAACCAAAATAGTTTTTAAGCTCTTGTTATCTGTTTGGAAATAAAGCATTCCATTCAGTTAAATGCTGTGTCGTTGGTTTCATTACTGGTCTTTAAATTTGGGGGTGGAAGAGGTGCGTGAGCAGGATTTTTTTAGGGGACAAGAGGGACACGAGTCACCCCCCCCCCACCCCGCATCCCTGGATACGGCACTGCACTAGCATCATATTTACACAAAGTTTATAAATTATCCAACCGACTTGCTTATCAAAATATGACATCACAGTGTATAGTTTAAATTAAATTAATTAAAATTGAAATAAATTCATCAAAGTACATAGATCAGTAGTTGTTCAGATTTAGTGTGCTCTTACCAATTACCAGATGCGAGTAATTACAAGGAGAATAAAGTACCAAAAAGTACCAATCAGCAAGGCTTGCAGATTCAAAAAATGCTACACAAATCTGGCATTATCACCCATGGAATCCAAATAGACCACATACGCGAAACTTAGACGGCAAGTTCATTTACAAAGACGAAGTTAAGTTGAAAGAAAAACATAAAATAAACGCACTCTGTACCTGCTGTTCCCATCGCAGTCAGAGACGCCCCGATTCATTTGACCATAACTTCACATCATCCGAATATCGGCGTTCAAAAAAGAACATCGCATCATCCAGGTAGGAGAGGGCCAGCGTAAATGATTCAGGATAGGTAGTGCGGTTTAAATATAAAACATGTTTATAAAATTTACTAGGCATAACTATATAAAACAATATCAGGGGCGGATCCACAGAATTTCTGACGGGGGACCACAATATGAAGTTCTCACCACCACGCCCACCTCAGCCCCACGATGGTTGGTGTAAATATTTTTAACTCAAATTTCCTCACTCTTACAGTATTGTAGTTTCGAAGGTGCAAGTTTATTCACCGTTTAATGTAAAACCATTTCATCAAGATACAGTAGACAGAGGTGGGCTAAAAACGTTCGGATTTTTGGGGATTCAAACATCAATTGGTTTTGTTTAAAGATGGAGTAAAAAAAATGTTCATTCAACGAAAATATCCCTACCCTTAATTATTATTATTATTATTATTATTATTATTATTATTATTATTATTGTTATTATTATTAATATTAATTATTATTATTATTATTATTATTTATTATTATTATTATTATTATTATTATTATTATTATCATTATTTTTATCATTATTATTATCATTTTTATTATTATTATTAATATTTTATTATTATGAGTATTATTATTATTATTATTATTATTATTATTATACTATGCGCTGTACGGACTATGCA